AATATATAAAACACTGCTGTCTTGGGGTGGGGTAGTAAGGGGAGGGCAAGGAAAATTAAGTTTTTTTGGCACCATTAAATGACAAAATCAAAAAAAAATTAATATTTCAATTTCAAATTTTGCAAATTGTCATGAAATTATTTTAAACCACATCAAGTCAATTTTGGTAATATCCCAATTATCTTGGGTTCATTTTGAAGCTACAATTCCATCATCCATTATATTAAAAAATTGCATAATAATTAATACAAGCGATAAAAAATATTCATTTATTGGCCAGAGTATTTCACGTGATAAAATGATCAACAAATAGGTTCCGATTGATAATGATCAACGTCCGAAATTTGAAAACTTATTAATAAAACTGACTATTTTTAAACACTATCAGCTCTCCAAAAAATTATGCAACTAAAAAATTTAATCCATGTAATCAAAAGAGAATCATTTAGGCTATTATTTGCACAGTTTATTTTTTAAAAATTTTCAAAAATTGGTGGACTAGATACAGTTAGGAGTCACATGAAAATTTTGGATGAGTATAGGTAGTATGCACCATAGCATTTACTGGTTTTAGTTCTGTGGATGGAATTGTTGAATATAAGTTTCTGATAAATAATATGATAATTGATTAAACTTTAAATAATGAATTCATTAAAATTTTTAAAAATAATAACAGGACCTGAAATTATATTTATATAATAGGAAACGTAATGAAAAATGACCGTTTCTTTCATTCATACTTATTGTGTGTGGTATTAGGATTTGAACATGCAATGTAAAACTTTTCTTTAATATCATTAATCATTATATTATTTACACAGTGAAATTATATTTTATTGTTTTATCTTTATTTAGATATGTCCTTTAAATCGCCTAGAGAAATAGCAATAGTAATCAACACATTATAAAAAGTACAGATCCAACTTAACAATATATTAATTTGATCTAATACAAATGACAATTCTTTTTCAATTGATTGATGCTGCATATTGTTGGACAAAGGGTAGATGAATCAATTAAAACAATGGAATTTTTGGACAGTTGATGTTTTGTTATTATTATGCAAAATATGTTAATCATCTTTATGACATTGTTATTAAATATTTATAAAAAAATAATATTAAAAAATTATGCCCATGCATGCATATATTTGATTTAGTGGGGTTTTTGATCATCACATGAAAACAATAATACATTGACAAATGATAATTTAGAAATTATACACTTAAAAAATGGAATGAAAAGTATTAAAGGAAATATAAATGATAGAATGAATTTAATTGAAGAAAAAAATTTCTAGTGTATTAGAATTAATGACAAAGATTAATAATAATCATTCTGATCAACATTAAAAATTTTAATAGATTGGTTAATTAAATTATATATATAGTAGATAAACATTGTAACTTTAATTTATATATGATTTTTAAAAAAAAAATTTCAATAATCAAAATGACCAATGTGTTATTTATTAATAGACCAATCACCCAAAAATCCTGTTACCAACCAGTAGAGTTGCCTTTCTAAACTCTAACATCTTTTCTAAACTAGTTTAGAAACCCTAAACAGGACCCCGAACAATCTTAGAAGATGGTACATTTGAAAAATACCCACTTTATTACCATTTTTGGAAATAATTTGCAAGATCATCACAAAATTTATCCTAATTAAGAAATGATATTCGATTTTGAGGGCTATTTCTACCCAAAATTGAAATGTACATCTCCTAAGATTGTTCGGGGTCCTCCCTAAACTATTTTCGAAACTAACCCGAAACTCCTAAACCAGTGTATAAAATTCAGCGAGTGTGTGTCACGTTACATTATGCACGTGCATACATTCTTTGGTGATTTTAATTTAAGAAAATTTCTTAGCAAACACGTAGTGTATGTACATGTGTCACATGCGTTACATAATAAAATTTGCATCAATAAAAAAAATTAACTTTTTTTTAAACTTTTTTAGAGTGTGTGTTTTGCTTGAGGGTTTGGGACACATAACATTTCATTTTGCATCTTACATATGATTTGTATGTGTGTATATATAACACAAGACAAGGTTGATTTGTGAAAATGATGGGATGATCTGATATGATAAAATAAAGTGATGGTCAGAGATTGTGTGGTTGGCACTTGTTCAACTTCCCAAAAAATGGGCCAAAAAAGGTTGTTTGGATCAAATGATGGGATGATCCAATGTGATTGTGAACCAATATAATGTAAAATAATGTGCAACATAACATCATGTTTACACACATAGTGTACAAATAGAAACTGCCTTAATTTAATTATTATAATAATTATGAATATTGTATTATTCTTGTTTTTTATTTTTCCAAGGCTCTAGTGCTTTTTAAAAATCAAAAATTTCAATTTCTGATCCATTATTAAATGATCATCTAATGCATCTACTACATTCATTTGGTTTCTCAAATTATTTTTAATTAACTTTGTTTGAGAAAATATTCTTTCTACATGAGCATTAGAAAGGTGTATAAGAATTCCTATTCTAGCAACTAATAATATATTTGAATTATTAAAAGGAAAATCCTCATCAGATCTAAATGTGTTCCACAACTGAATGAATTGATTTCTCTATTATTATTTTATAGTGCTGGAAGAAAAGTTTGTTGAATTTATTCTTGTTTAAGTTCTTCTTTGTCAGTGATTCCATTAAATTTATTTCCATTTGCAATTTTAATTTCTCCATAGAAATTACCTATAATTGCATATGTGTGACAATAAATTTGAGTTTATTTATTCCGTGCACATATGTTTTGTGGTGTAACGTTATACCCTCCCGCTGAATTTTATACACTGTCCTAAACTGATTTTATAGCATATGATGATTATCTAAATCATTCGTTTTCTCTATTTTCTCTTCAAGTGATCAAAGTTTTTATCAAAGTTCATTTTATTTTGATATTATTGTCCTGACAATTAATTAATTATTAAATCATTGGTTTAGTTTAAAAATATGTTATAATTTTCTTATTTGTTCTAATATAATTTTTCTTAAAAATATATAAATTTTTTTAATCACAATAATGTCAAACAATACTGATGTAGATATAAATAGTTTATCAAATTCAAAAAAACTTGGTGGGTGACCAAAAAATGCAGTTTGGCAACATTTCGAATGTTATCCCTCAAAACATCCAGGACATTTTGGAGCCAAATGCAAAGCATGTAATTGTAAATGGAGTAATAGAGCTGTTAATAAACTGCAAGTCCATTTGGCACATGAATGTGAATACATTGAAGAAGAGATCAAAAAAAGATATATGTATATTGTTGCAGAAATTTTAAGAGATGAAATTGAATGTGTTTTATCCAGAATTGGGCCAAACAAATTTGCAGCTGTAGTGAGTGACAATGCTTCAGCAATTCTTAGTGCAAGAAAACAAATTTCAGAAAAATATCCTTTCATTTTGAATACCAATTGTATAGCACACTGTGTGAATTTGATAACAAAAGATATTATGAGTATGTTTTTTTAAAATTTAGGCTTTTTTAATATTATTTATGGTTTAATAATCTATATTTTAAAAAACATTACAATTAGAGCACTCCTTTCCATATAAAGTTGTTAAACAATGAAACTAGTTATCTCAAAGAGCAGGGATTTCTCATCCCTAATGCCGAAATTTATCAGGGGTTAGCTAGTACTTGGGATTTAGGACCCCACGGAGCCGAATTAAAAAGAAATTTAAAAAATCTCTGATGAAAGTATTTTATTACTTCTTCTCCTTATAATGTTGGTTGAGTAACAAAATTAGCCATTTTTTTAAAACTTCCCACAGAGTTGGAGCATTATTAAGAAAATATATTGATGAATATGGTATTAAAGGTGGTGGACTTTGTTCGTACACACCAACTAGATGGACTTCAATGTTTGAGACCACTAACTCTGTCCTCCAACTCAAACAACCATTGGAAAAGGTTTAAATATTAATTACTTTCTTATTTATTTTTTATTTTGTCATTTGTAAGATTATAATATATGATAACAAAATTTTCAATTTAAATAAAGATTTATGAAAGACATAAAGATTTACTTACAAATGATAAGGTGAAACATATTCTTGGTCTAAGAGGTTTTTTTCATGATGTTGGGCTGGTAACTTCTGTATTGTTGCCATTACAAAAAGCAATTCTCAATTTGGAAGGAACAAATGTTAACCTTGCAGATTGTTTCATCCAACTTGTAAAACTTGCAGTAAATATCAACAAAATTTCACATGAAGATGGATTAATGAATTTAGGAACCATTGTATTAAAGTCATCAATAATAGATGGGAATCTTTTGAAATACATCCATATTGGCTTGCATATTTTCTTCACCCATTATACCATGGTAAACATTTAACATTTTTTTTTATTATAAAAGAATTTTATATATAAATTATTGACATCTTATTTTTGTTTAGGAGTTGGTTTAAAATCAACTATTTGGCCAAATTTAACTAAATATGCAGGAGAAATCATTTGGAATATGAATAAAAAAAATCACTCTAATAATAAAGTAGCAGAATTAATAGGTCAAATGGCAAACTTTAAAGGTTCAGAAGGTGTTTTTTCTATCCAATATTCTTCTTCTTACACAAGACCAAGAACTTGGTGGCAAGTTATTGATGATTCAAATGAATATGTAAAGAGTTTAACAATTAAAATTTTCTCAATCACTCCTCATCATGCTGCTTGTGAGAGAGCATTTTCTGCACTAGGATTCTTGTATGGAAAAAGACAGCAATGTCTTAGTTTGTCTACAATTGAAGATATGGCAAAAATTAGATATTATTTATATTCAAATATTAAAAATGAGTTGAATTATGAATCTAAAGAAAGATATGAAGAAGAACTAAGATCTCTAGTCCAAGGAAGTGGATTTTTTGATGATAATGATGAAGACTATGATGAAGGTGATAGTGAAGATGATAGTGAAGGTGAAGAAGGATTAGAAATACCAAATGAAGATGTTTATGTTTAATTATTAATGAGATGGTTGATTTAAATAATCCAATATTTAATGAGGATTATGATGATTTAAATGATAATATTGAGGTAGAAGATGAGAATATGGAAGAAAGTTCTGAAGAAGTATTTGATTTTGATGCAATTCCTGAAATTTCACCTCCATCAAATATGTAAAAATTATTATTTTTTAAAAAAATTTTATTAATAATGATAATAGTAATATTTTGGTTGTTTTTTTTTATTAAGAAAAAATAAAGATTTATTTGTTTGGTTTGGAATTTTTAGGAGTTTCGAAAATAGTTTAGGAGTTTCGAAAACAGTTTAGGAGTTTCGAAACAGTTTAGGAGTTTTGAAAACAGTTTAGGAGTTTCGAACAGTTTAGGAATTCAGGCCCATTTTCTAAACCAATTTAGAAGGGTTTAGATTTCGAATAGTTCTAAACTCATGAGTTTCGGAAGGCAACTCTACTTTACAGTAGAAATAATGTCCACCTGGTAAGGTACTAAATGCACAAGCTGTCAACATATATTTCAAAGTTTCTTCACTTGATTTGCAATAAAGATGCAATGGAAAGTCTAATTGATTTGATGGATGATATGAATTATCATCTCTCTGAGTCAATTCAAATATTAAAATTGGTGGATAAAAAATTATATATTCTTCATAATTAATTTTCCAATTAATATATACAAGGATGGAACACTCCAATATTTTATGCATAAATTTTCACTATCTTATTCCCTAATCATATGTGCAGGTCAATGAGGAGGTATTATCAAAATATTTTAATATTATGCATACATCTTTAATCAGGACTATTAGAAGGCCAATAAAACTTTGGTGAAAAATAATTGAATAGACCGAGTAATCCTACTATGAACAAGTATTCAACATCTTTAATAAAAAATTTCTTTTTTGTCTTTCAGTCTCCATATAATTATCAATTTGCATTTTTCTTTTGACTAAAAACAATCATGGTGATAAATGTAATTTTGATCCCTGTAATTCACTTTGTTTTGTTGCAGCATGCCCCATATATAATTTATTTGTAATTATTTTGGATACTTGTATATACGTGGTATGGCTGAAAAGTAATGAGAATCATTGTATTACTCAATAATATGTGGGTATACCTAAACAAAGTTA